AAAGATTGCAGTTGGTGCTCGTGTCGCTACTGCTGGTGGGAAAGATTATGCACTGCAGCCCAGCAAGCAATGCGAAGGGCATGGAGATTGGCGAATAACGCATGGTCAGGTACGTGAGGCGTCGACGTTCCAACGAGTCTGCTGTCATAGCAAACTTGCCTGCACCAGAAACAGGCCGAAGTCCAAGGCCCCAGCGAGAAAATCTCACCCTCCGGAAAATGAGCTCGACCATCCCGTGCTGAGGTTTGGCAGGGGTGACTGGCCGCTCTCCTCACACGCCTGTGCACGTTCGAATGTGTGCATCCCGTCGCACACCACCTCTTCACACTCCCCTGGTTCCAACTCGCGGTGCTCAACGAGTGCTATCACAGTGGCATTCTCGAATACAAGATGTGCACACGGCAGCTATTGCGGGCTACTGAGGTGGTACCCAACATGAGGTCTGCTTGCGACAGGCGCTGTGCGAATGGGTCCAGCCCCATCGCCGTCTACAAGGCAAACACACCATGCTGACGCACGCCTGCGCGCGCTCGTGCTGAATGAACCGCTGTTCCGCTGCCCCGCTCCTTGAAAATCATTTCAGGCTCCGTCGCGCGCGTGCCAGGCCGGGTGACCCCATCCAACAACCCTCGGGACGTGCCGCTCGGCACCACTTCCCGCACGAAATCCAACCATGCACTGAACTATGCAAACAAGACATCGGCTCCTGGTGTATACGGGATCCTGGTGTATACATGTTTCGCTGTTTCCCTGGGAAACAAGCAAACAAACATACACCACACCACCCCGACGTCGTCCCCGATCCTAACAAACTCCTGGGATTGAAACACAGCCCGCCACTGGTAATGCTGATGTTCAAGTTTCCTGTAATCACCGAGATCGAGGATGTCCGGCGAGCGACGGGGCCAACCAACGCCCCGACTGGAGGAAACGAAAACGAGGACAATGGACCATGACTAAAACTGAACTCGGACACGTCGGTGTCGATCCCGTTCATCGTCCATCCTGGTCATGGTCAATTCGTGGATCATCCTCGCGAATCGGCGGCGGGTGGCATGGACAATGGCCAGAATCGGCGTCGACATCAACCCGCGATATCCTGGTCATGGTCACTGCACGTATGCCTCGACGACGCCCTGACGGTGCGCTTCACGCCCATCCAGCAATCGAGGCGTCGCCACCATCAAGAAGCGTGGCGTAGGCAGCGAACCAGAACATCTGCTCCACGTCCTGCAGCGGCTGCGACGGCTTGCGCGACGCAGGAAGAGGGCACAAGCACGAGCGCCGTGAGGGGCACAGAGCTCGTGCGGGGCGCGGCCCTGGTGGATCAGAAGGTTCCGCTGCAGCCCAGCACAGGGACCTCGCGAGAAATCACCCAGATGCAAAGACTCATGAAGCCCTCGGATGGTCCTGCCCAGTCCTCTCCCCTTGCCGTCGCTCGGACGTCCATTTCCCGTGCATTTGTTCGATGTCGTGCGTGTTTTTCTTGTTGCTCGTTGGTCCAGGGTGGTCCTCGTCCGCGCGATGCCAAGCCCCCGCCCCCTTGTCCTTCTAACGCTCCTCCCTGTCGCACCCCGAGGCGCGTGGGCAGGGCGGGCCGGGCGCGCTGCCCCCACGACTTCCTCGCCATGCAGGGCCCTCAAGCTAACTTGAAGGGGCCCTGAGACACGCAAATCAATGCGCAGAAATAACAACAAGGTTCCCCACATCTTCCCCTCTTTTCCGTGCTCCTGTTTTCCCCCCCCACGCCTCCCAGATTTTCCCATGCTTTCCGGGGAAGCGACGCTTCATTGTGTCTGCGTGTGTTCTCCCCTCCCGGAGACCGTGCAGCAGCTTCACTGGTGAAGGGCGGGTAGCTCTTGACCGTGGCCCTCGCCGCAGCGCCGCGCACGTGTGCGTGTTCCACGCGCGCACGGGGCTCCTGGGACGGAGGGCGGGCCGCCTTCAAGCTGTGGCTCTCGCCGGCGTGCCGCGCACGCTCGTCTTCAAAAGTTTGCAGGGCGTCACAGACGGCAGAGGGAAACAATTAGTGAACACCCCTCCTTTTCCTCCTCCTCCTCCTCCTCCTCCTCCTCCTCCTCCTTCGCCTGCTCCTCCTGCTCCTCCTCCTCCCTTCTCCTCCTCCTCCTCCTCCTGAGCCTCCTCCTCCTGAGCCTCCTTCTTGTTTTCCTGCTGCTGCTGCTCCTCCTCCTCCTCCTTATCCTCCTCCCGCTCCCCCAAACTCAAAGTTGGCACGCGCGGGGGAGGCTGCGGTCGAGGTGCAACTCATCAGACCCACCGCCAACTCTGAACATTGGGAGGGGAGGGGGAGGCGGTGACAGATGCATGTGGCAGGAGTGTTCGCTGCTTTTTTCCAAGGCCTGGATGGAGGGCGGTGCCTTGTCAAAAAGAAAGCTCTCGCCTTCGCGCCGCGCACGTTCGCCTTGAAAGTCTGCAGGCGTTCCACGGGCGCAGGGCGGGCCGTCTTCAAAGCGTTGCTCCCGCCCTAGCGCCTCGCACATTCGCGCGAAAAGAACTACTCCAGATGTCGTAATAAAAGGGAGGGGGTCTCAACCCTCCCAGACGAAAAGTTTTAGACCCCCCCCGTGGGAGAACCCTCCAAAACATCGTCCCCAGACCCCCCCAGGCCCTCCAAGATAGCCTGGAAGAGACCCCCCCGAAATGAGACCCCCCTCCCTTTATTACGAAATCTACAGTACAAACAAACGTCGCGGAATGAGGGCGGGCCATTTCCGCAATGTGGCTGTCGCTCCAGCGCAGCGCAGGTTCGTCCCAACAGTTTACAGCATCTTCGAAGATTCTTATGGCTGGCGTCCCGGAAACGGCGTTCCGGCACAATTTAGGACTGGCAGGGCGCCACAATCACATTGATCTGCGGTGTGGAAGTCCCAGGAACGGCGTTCTGGCACGAATCAGGATCGCCAGGACGCAGCTGTAACGTTGATTCGCGGCCTTGAAGTCCCAGGAATATTGATTTGGCACAGATCAGGATTTTCGAGAGAGCGTGATCCACCGCCGCTTTGATGTGGAAAATTCCCCCCCCCTCCTCGGAACCCAGGGGCCCCCCCCCCCTCCAAAAATCCCCCCCCCAACGCTCGAACCCCTCCCCCCCCTCCCCCGACAAACCCTCTCCCCCTCCGGAAAAATGGGGGGGGCCCAGTTCGAACCCCCCGTCTCCTTCGGAAATGCAGGGGGTGGGTCACTACAGGTTCGAACCCCTCCCCCCCCCACTGTCCCCACCACTGTCCCACTGTCCCGCTGACCCCACTGTTCCCACCACTGTCCCCACTGCCCCTAGCAGTGCCCCCACCACTGTCGCATTATCCCCACTGTCCCCACCACTGTACCCATCCCCACCACTGTACCCACCACGGTCCCACTGTCCCCCCCGTCCCCGCCACTGTCCCACTATCCCCAGTGTCCCCACCACTGTCCCACTGTCCCCACCGCTGTCCCACTGCGCTGTCCCACTGTCCCCACTGCTCCCACCACTGTCCCACTGTCCCCACTGTCCCCACTGTCCCATTGTCCCATTGTCCAACCACCGTCCTCACCACCGCCCTCACCACTGTCCCCACCACCACCGTCCCCATCACTGTCCCACTGTCCCCACTATCCCCACCACTGGTCCACTGTCCCCTCACCACTGTCCCCACCACCACCGTCCCCACCACTGTCCCACTGTCCCCACTGTCCCCCAACTGTCGCACTGTCCCAGCTGTTCCCACCACTGTCCCTACTGTCCCCAGCAGTGCCCCCACCACTGTCGCACTGTCCCCACTCTCCCAACCACTGTCCCCACTCTCCCCACTGCCCCCACCACGGTCCCACTCTCCCCACTGTCCCCACTGCTCCCACAACTCTCCCACTGTTCCCAGTGTCCCCACCGCTGTCACACTGTGCTGTCCCACTGTCCCCAGTCCCCCGACCACTGTCCCACTGTCACCACTGTCGCACTGTCCACACTGTCCCCGCCACTGTCCCCACCACGGTCCCACGCTCCCCAGTCTCCACTGGCCCCCCACCAGTCCCACTGTCCCCACTCCCCACCCCCATCCCTACCACCGTCCCAACCACTGAGGGAGGAGGGGGAATCGTTTGCCGGCGGCGAGGTGGGGGGGGTCGAACCGGCAGTGACCCCCCCCTTTTGATAATTGACTGGGGGAGGCGGAGGGGGGGGGTTGGAACCCCCAGTGACCCCCCCCTGGTTTTCGAGAAGGGGACGGGTTGGAAACCTCCAGTGACCCCCCTGGGTTTTCTGCCAGCAGCGGCAGAACACGCTCTTTCGGATTCCCAGACAGTTGCATTCCAACAGCGCACTTCACTCTGTGAAAATGAATTATTGCAGGGGCCTGCGAAGAGGGAACCTGAAGGGCGGGTGAATTGCAACATCGTTGATGCATCTTGGGTTTACACTGGCCCTCCTCCTCCTCCTCCTCCTCCTCCTCCTCCTCCTCCTCCTCCTCCTCCTCCTACTCCTCCTCCTCCTCCTCCGTCCCGTCGACCGTCCTCACCTTTGCCGCGGAAGTCCCAGCAGCAACGGGGCCAGCGCCTCACGGATATGCCTCCAAACGAGGGGCAGACGGAATAGCCCAGAAGGTTCCCGAGGCTGGCCAGTCACCGCAAACTCGCACCAACTCGTTCACCTCCACACCCTTGCGGGTCGGGACGGGGGGGGAAGGAGGAGAAGGAAGAGGCGGAAGAGCAGCAGGCGGAGAAGCGGGCGGGTGATGCGAAGGGACAGGCTGGAGGCGATTGGGGCCTTGGAAGAAATCCCTCGCACCCAGCGAACCGACCACTTCGTGACACAGGCTCCTCGGGCTCACCACTCCTACCTTCTGGGAGCCGAGCCGGGTGAAACTCAACCGCCCCACGCGGGGCAACAAGGCCGTGCAACTGCGCCACACGAGGCATGCCGAGAGCCTCGAGAAGCAGACACCGCCGTCGCCGCACGCGCCAAAGCACGGCCCCGCGCCCCACGCCAGGCCGAGCCCCCGAGCTCACGCCTTGGCGCTCGAGGGCGCCTCGACGTCCTGCCTGTTCCCCGAGAGCAGCGGGTCCGTCTCGCCCTTCGCCTCCTTCCTCTCCGGCGCCGCCGAGAGCCCCAGGTAGCTCTTGTAGAAGAGGCCGCCGAAGACGAGCAGGAGCCCGATGGCCTGGGGGCCCTGGAGGGTGTGGTGGTACGTGGCGTACGACACCAGGATGGAGATCACCTGCCGGAGGTTCATGGTGGCCGCGAAGACCAGGGCCCCGAACTCCTCTCGGAGGGGCGCAAGGCAGGATCCGCAGAGTGTGCACACGCAAGACAGAATGTCGGAGGCCCGCGGGGACTCCTTGGATCGATGCTGGACCCCCTGGCGCTGGAGGCGCTGGCAGGGCGGCCCCGGCATCGGCCCAGAAGATCCGCGCGGACCTCGGCACGTTGATGTCTAATTATGCCGTGCTCTTTTCTTCCACCACGAGAATGGTTTTTGGATTCGAAAACAACTAGATTTTGAATTCCGCAAATGGCTTTTGAATTCAAAAAAAGAATTTTTGAATCCAGAAAACTGGCTCTCGAATTCAAGAACGAGGCAGTGGGCGCGCCCAGCGAAGCCCGCTCTTGAAACCAGAAGCCACAGGGCCGATGGGACCGCCACTGGTGGAGACACGCCTCCCTGGCCACGCCAGGATCGGCGACTCCAAAGGGTGTGGTTTGCAAGGGTGTGGTTTGCAACCGGCGCCCTGGGGAACATCCTGGGAAGCACCCTGGGGGGCGCGCGGGGACCTCGATAGAGTTCTCCCGCGCCCCGTGGAGGCCCGTGGAGCTCCGCGCTGAGCTTCTTGGTTCAGCGCTGACCCCATCGCTGGCGCGGCGCGCTCTCCAGAGGCGCCGCCAGGGGTGCCCAGCGCAGATCCAAGACATCCGCGCGGAGCTGCGGACATTTTGCTCGTGCAACGTTTCCTGCGCGCACGATCTGTCAACGCCAGCTCTGTTCCATCAGCTGGGGGCCAGCCCGTGCTCGCGGTGAGGTGCGCCCAGGAGCTCCTGGCGCCGCACCTCCGTGCCTGTGGCCGCACGCGCCTGACAGGCAGAGGAAACCTGGAAGGAGAGGGGCTGCTTGTGCAAGGCGTCCCACGTCGAGCGGACGAGCACACCGAGGTAGCGTCCGGCCGTCCGCGGAGCGGCGCCGTGCAGAGCCTCCACCTCCCCCGCCGCCGCCGCCGCCGCCGCCGCCGCGGCTGCGGGGAGGGGGGGTGGGGCGGCGACGGCAGGGCGGGCGGGCGCGGGCGTCGAGAGCTCCTGCCCTTGCGCGCCTGTCCGGCCCGTGCCTCCCGCTCGTCCCCAGCCCTCCTCATCGACATGCTCATCATCTCCATCACCACCATCATCACCACCATCATATCCACCATCATCACCACCACCATTATCTCCATCGCCACCATCGTCGCCATCGTCGCCGCCGTCGTCCCGCACAGGGAGTAGAGAACTTTCCCTGGACCCCCCGACCCCTCCAGGGGGAGGCCAGGCCATTGTGGAGCATGCGTGAACGGCCCCTGGACCTCTCGACCTCTGCAGGGGGAGGCCAGGCCATTGTGGAGCATGCGTTCTGACACACGAGACTTGGGCGCTTTCGCGCCCCATGTTCCTCCTCTTCCTCCTCCTCCTCCTCGGTTTCCTCCTCCTCCTCCTCCTTCCTCTTTCTCCAGCATCGTCACACAGATCACATTGAAAACGTGCAGTCGGGTGGCAAGGACGCAAGACCCTTGAAGGCCGACGTTGGGATTTTTTGGGCGGCCGCCCCAAAGGATACCCTGAGAGGCTGGCCAGTGGAAACGGCCAAGGACGGGCCGCAGAGGCAAGGACACAAGGGCACCCCAGACAAGGCGCGCATCCTTACGATGCGCGTTGACTGCAGCGTGTCTCTACTGCATGCCCTCTACAGGGGATGCGCTCCTGCACCCCGGACTCCGCGGACCCTTTCTGGTTCTCGAGGTCCCTGAGCCGACGGCCACTGGAGAGAGGCCACACGCTCTTGGGGAGAAGAGAGCACCGGCGACGGCAGCGAGAAGCAGCCCGCACCGGAACTCTTTGGAAGCTCGGGCGGCCCCGTCCGGACAAGAAGAGCACACGGCACCACCCCCGCCTGCGGCCCTGCACGGGGCCTGGCGCATATGCCGGGAGATCTGGCATGCGCCCGTCGCGTGGTGTGCGCTGCGGCCCCCGACGGGCCGGGGTGCAACGTGGAGGGCCGGAGGTCAGCGCTTTCTTCGTCGGCGTTTCGACATTGGGTGGAGGGGGGGGAGGGGGGGGGGGTCTGGCTCTGGACCTCTGCTTGTGAAGGGGCCCTGGGACACACAAATAACAGGATTCCCCATATTCTCTGGGTTGTTGTCTTCCCCCCCACTTCCCATATTTTCCCATGTTTTCCTGGGAGTCGTCGATCAATCGTGTCTGTGTGTTTCCTCCCCTCCTCAGCGTGGTGCGACTCTTTGCAACAGTGCGTCCCATGCGGGAGCAACGCCACCTGCTCGAGACAGGCGCCAGAAACGGCCAAGAGCTGCTCTAGGAGGGGGGGGGGGGAGAGGGGTGGCGGGGTTGCGAGGGCCCGCGCCGAGAGGCAAAACAGTGAATACGACAACGAGCACAAGGTGGAGTGGTGTCGCTTGTTTTGTTGGTCGACGGTCCTTCACCTGGGAGTAGATGAACCACTGGCCACCCACGGCGGCGGCGCTCAGGGTGAAGGCGTCGGTCAGGATCGCCGGGTGGGCGCTGCAGAAGCGGAGGGCCTCGCCGGCCTTCTGCGAGGCGAGCAGCGTGACGAAGGACACGATGCAGGAGAAGCTGTTGACGTAGAACATCTGGTTGTACTTCGTGGTGCTGTGCTGCTTGAACAGCTTCTCCTGGAAGGTGGACGTGAACCCGTCGAGGCCCAGGAACACCAAGAGCAGGAACAGGCCGTACGCCCCGGTTCCGGTCGAGTGCTTGGCCTTGATGCTTCCAGTCATGAGGAATTCGGTAACGCCGCCAGTGACGGCCGCGGCGACGGCCCAGTCGCTCCAGCCGTATCTCTTCTGCGAAATGAGGATGCCCCAGATCATGACTGGCATCATCTTGAAGCTCTTGCCCAGCATCTGCACGGGAAAGGACACGTACTTGAGAGCCTCATACTGGCACCACGTCGCGCCGACGTTGGACAGCGAGATGGCGCAGTACTTCCAGAGCGGCGCCGCGTTCTTGATCGCCTCCCCCTTGCCGAAGATCATCCCGCAGGCGAAGCAGACGGCCACGAGGCGGTTGCACAGCACAAGAAACACGGAGACCTTGAAGATGTCCCCTGACTCGCCGTAGGGCTCCGACATGATGCGCTCCTGAAGGAGCCCATAGACGAGCAAACACCCGATGATCCCAGCGGCGTAGAACGAGCCCCAGCACGCGGAGGCCCACACGGAGGGCTGCTCGGACATCGCGGATGTGGCGCGGGGAGCGTCCGTGTATGGGGTTATGTAGGGAATGGAGTCAGGAAGCCGTGAGACGAAACAGCTGGCTAGGCCCAGGCGGCTGCGGAGGTCAGCGACACCCTGGTCGGTACTCGGTGGTCCTGGACTCGGACCGATGCAGGTAAGTGGCGCTCTCCTGCCGATTTCCTGCTGCGCTCGCACACAGTGCAAGGGCATTCATTACTGGGTACCCCCCTCGGTGGCGCCGAGGAGGCGGAGGCCCGCGGGGAACCAGAGGGGACGTGCACCGAATCCCTCCGGGAGCCTCCAGCACGAGCGGCGAAGAAGGAGCGAGAAGTCTTTCCCACGAGCAGCCCTGCGCAGGCAGCTTTCGCACGCGCGCGCGCGGCTGCCCCCCGCGGCGGCTCGCGCAGGCCGCTCACGCGGAGCACACCGCGTGGAGAAGGGGGCGCCCCAGCGCGCGCGACCCTGCGCGGGCAACCTGCGCGCGCGTGTCCGCGCAGCCGATCCTCCCCAGGCACTCTCTTCGCGCGGGCGCTCCCGCACCTCCGACGTCGTGGCTTTCCCAAGAGGCGGCCCGCAAGTCGCGGCCCCCTCCCCGGGGCCAGCGGTCCCCGGGAGGGGACCGCGACTCGTCCGCACGGGTGCTCCCGCACCTCCGGCGTCGTGACTTGGGGGAGCACCCGGGAGCCAGCAGTCCCCAGGTGCTCCCGCACCTCCGGCGTCGTGACTTCCCTCCGACTTTCCCAAGTCGCGGCCCCCTCCCGGGGGCCAGCGGTCCGGCCCGAGTCGATCCTGTTGTGCTGCCCTGGCTGCCAGAAGCGGCCTCTGGACGCCGAGGGTGGCGAGACACCTTCCGAGGCACTGTAGGTCCGGGCTCCCGCCTCCAGAGAGGCCAAGGGGGAGGACAGGCGGCCGCAGAGGGGAACCGCACGGGGCCGACGCGGCCGACGCCCACCCTGCCCACGAACCATCCCCCATCCCTCCTCGGGAGGCCCATGATCTCCGACGTCGTGATCTTTGGTCAGTGCGTGGCCCCCCTGGACCCCATCGCCCCCCCAACCAGGAGGGCGCAGCGGCGCACCGACCGACGGGTCTTGCCTGGCGTAGGGGCGGCGACACTCGGCCTGCACCTGCAAGGTGCGACTGCTCTTCGCAGACGACACTCTCCAGGACAACCAGGGCCCATCCCACAGTTTCCCAAACGGGACCCGCTCTGCGAAAGTTGGCGCCGTGACCCTTCCCAACGGAAAGCTCCACAACAGCGCCCGTGCCATCACCGGTCGCCGCCATGCTGCTCTGCGCCCCCCTTCCTCCGCACGCGGTCGGCGAGACCCCCCCCCCCGGTCCTTGCACGCCGTCACCGTGGTGCTCCCGACGTGGATCTCGACGGGCCTGCCGCGCCGTGGCCCCAGAACTCCTTTTTGTTTTCTGCCTGCCACCGCAGGAGGATCGTCCCCCTCCTCCTCCGCCTCCTCCTCCTCCTTTTCCTCCTCCTCCGCCTCCTCCTCCTCCTTTTCCCCCTCCTCCCCCTCCTCCTCCTCCTGCTCCTCCTCTTCCTCCTCCTCCTCCTCCTCCTCCTCCTCTTCCTCCTCCTCCCCCTCCTCCTCCTACTCCTCCTCCTCTACCTCTTCGACTGGACGGCGAAGCTGCGCTGGGGCAGCGCGAGACAGTGCACCGAAGCGGACGCCACACGGTGGAGTCGAGGAGCCCATGCGTACCATAGCACTGGCCGCGGAACGAGAAGAGAGCGGAGACGAGTTACACGAGACGGGCCGCGGCCCCAGAACGCCGACGACCCGACGTTTCTTGACACCGGGCCCTGGACCCGCGGGCGAGACACCGACCCGCATCCCCCGCCCGGCGGCCTGGACTCCTCGCCGCCCCAGGCCCCCATGGATGCAGAGCGGCCTCGCCAGGATGCCCCGCCCGTCGTCCAAGCCGCGAGGGCAGGGATGTGGGAACGCTCGTCGCTCGTGGCGGGACTCAGGACTCTGGACCGACAAGGAGGAGGAGGAGGAGGAGGAGGAGGAGGAGGAGGAGGAGGAGGAGAACGAGGAGGAGGCCTGGCCTTGTTTCGGGGGTTGCCGGAGGTGTCCCCAGGAGACGGTGCCCCCAGCGTCAGGGGCCCTCGGGGAGCAAGTCGAGCCGACAAGCGGGATGGGACATCGACTGACCCTTCGCAGATGGCGTTGCTCGAATCATCCTCCCGCGGAGCAGCCGCGCGGCCCTTCGAACGAGCGGTCGCACAAGGCGCCTCCTATCCCAGGGCGCCAACCATACGACGACCCTAGCAAAGGCCCCCATGCAAAGAACTTGCAAAGATCTCTGCAGTCGCACCGCAAGAGCATGTGAAGACCGTAAAGAGACCCCTGCAAAAGCCTCGCCCAGAACATTTAGAAGACCTTGCAATGCCATGCTTTTCCCTGCAATGGACCCTGTGATACGTTGCAAATCCCTACAGCCGGCCCTGCGACATCTTGCAATTGCCCCCCAGTCTCTCCTGCACCCAGCCCTCTGGGCGTAGAACGCTTGAGGGATCCAGTTTTCCCTCGGGGGCCCTTTCGGGGTCCCCCCGAAGCTTCTGGAAAGCCCCAGGGGAGGCCCCGAGACAGACCCGAGGGGGCGCCGAGAGAGGCCACAGAAGGCCAAAGAGGGCCCCAAGAGCGGCCCAGGGGGACCCAGGAGGGACGCATGACGCATCGCGCCAAAACCCGTCTGACGGAGTTCGGCGCGATGCCTGCGAATGCCTACTCGAAGCTCTCTGCAGGCCCTCTCCGGGCCCTCGTGGGCCCCTCTTCGACATTTCCGGGCACTCGGAGCCCTCCCAGGCCGCGTGATGTCGCTGGGGCCCAGGCCCCAACGATATCATAGGAACAGGCTATCGCATGAGATCGTGGGGGCCGGAGCTCGGCAGATCTCGCGCGGCCCAGGGAGCCAGGAGGGAGGAGGGAGGAGGGAGGAGGGAGGAGGGAGGAGGGAGGAGGGAGGAGGGAGGAGGAGGAGGAGGAGGAGGAGGAGGAGGAGGAGGAGGACTCGTGGGGCTCCTGGCGACAGCAGGGGCTCCTGACGACAGCAAAGCTGGAGCAATTCTTCCACTTCCCCCCGTCCACATCCCCTTTTCCACGGGCAGCGGCTGCCCTCGTTTCTGTTGCGCTGCACACTGCTACACTGCCCTGATCACGGCGATCTCGCCTGGGCGCCTTCTCTGAACGGGGCGGCGGGGATAGGCGAAGTGGCAGAAGTTCAAAGGCTGCCGCAAATCATCGTCGCAGCGAAGGCGGATGCTGCGAGTGGCCCCCCGGCACCCCCCGACCTCGGCCTGATTACTAGCCGGCCGCTCTGCGGTTGATCGGGAGTTTCTGTATATAGAAGAAGGTGCGTGCGCCTGTTGGCGAGGGCGAGGATGAGGTTCCTCCTCCTCCTCCTCCTCCTCCTCCTCCTCCATCCTTCTCTTGCCTCCTCCCCCGACCTCGGCCTGATCATCACAATTTGCCCTCCTCGCAGCTCCACGCTCCCAGGCATCGAGCCGACGCTCACGCATGGCCTGACTGATATGGCCTCCGCGGGCCGCCACTGCGGGCCGCTGCCTCTGCAGCCGGGTCTGCGGCGCCTTCTGGGAGCTCGCTCGTCCACCCCCGGGAAAGCTGCAGAGGTAGGGCGACGAGATCTATGCATATCCACTGCTCCTGGCCAGGCCAATCCTGGGCCCAGGAGCGGTGTATACGCCCTCCTGGCCTGGCCAGGGAGGCATATACACAGCTCCTGGGCCCAGGATGGGCCTGGCCAGGAGCAGTGGATATGTATAGATCTCGTCGCCCTAAGAGGGGCCCGTACGACCCCAGAGCACGATTATTGGCCGACTACCCTACCAGGCCCCCAGACTGTTGAAGGCTCCGGGAGACCTGCCGTTCGGCGACTGCGCCGTGTTCGCGCTGGAACGCAATGCCCCTCGTGTCATTGCTGCCCTCCTCCCAATAGTTTGGCGAGGCGATCTTGACGATGACGCGATTTGACGAATCTTCGTTTGACGAGCGCTTGGCGGGACTTGACGAATTTTAACGAACTTTGACGAGATTGGACGCGAGCGATTTTTTCGAGACATTCTCGCAAAAGTTTGACGAGACTTTGAAGATTGCCCTCGGGAGGGGGAACTTACTTTGACGACGACTCCCCTTCGCAAATCTTGAACCGAAGATTCGTCAAATCACGTCCTCGTCAAACTAAGCCTCGTCAAACGAGGGGGGGGAATGAGACCTCGTGGACTGTGGAGGCTTACGTTGTGACCCGAATACGCCGCAGCTGCCGAAGGGGCTACTGCCCAGTACGTTCCTCCCAGCTCCTCCGAGCTCCTCCGAACTCCTTCCCCAGCGGCCCTGAGCGGCCCCTTCCCTCCTTTGGAAATCACCCTCCGAACAGGTGATTTTTCAAAAGTGGGTAAGGGCCTCTGCGCTTGGAGATTTCCTGCGTGTTTCAATAGAAAAGTCTCGGGGCCCTCTTGGAGCCGTCTGGAGGCCCCAGGAAAGGCCCAAGGGGGCACCAAGACGGCTCCAAGAGTGCACCTAGACAGCTCCAAGAAGGCTCTCATAGCGGTCACTGATGGGACCGAACGACTCACCCACGCCGCGACCCACCCGCAACCCACCCGCGACCCACTCGCGACCCATTGGCGCCGCAAACCACCCGAGATCCACCCGCGCCGCGACCCGCCCGCGCCGCGACCCACCCGCGCCGCGACCAAACCGCCGGGACGACGACAACAATAACAATAAGAAGCATAATCCTCACCGTGGACCCCCGCTTCAGCCACGCACCCAGGGACACTGTAAGACTGTTCGGCCCCCTCACTCTGATTTACTGCACCACGCTGTGAAGGAGTCCTCCACGGACAAACCCGCCCGTGCCCTCATGCACGAAGAAACGCTCGCTAAACGGAATCCTACGATGTAGGTCCGCGCCCGCGGCGGGCCCGCGCGAGGGGCCCCGAGCAGCCCAAGGCGAAGCGAAGGGATGACGAGAGCGCCGCAACGACGGCGCGCGGGACAGACGGCGAGGCGCGCGGCGCGTCCCTCGCCGAGCCTCGTCGTCGACCAAGGATCGATGTCGTCGTCGATCCTCGTCGTCGTCGCCGATCCTCCTCGTCGTCGCCGATCCTCCTCGTCGACATCGTCGCCTATCCTCGTCGTCGTCATCGTCGCAGATCCTCGGCGTCGTCGATCCTCGGGTCAAGATCGAGGCTCGAGCATCGATGAGTGCTGGCTGTTCTGGATATCCGTTGTGGGGCTTCGACAAGCCAGGGGTGTCCTTTGAGGGCCTCTGGGACCTCCAAAGACATCTGGGAACTTCCTCTTGGACTTCACCTTCCCATACCTCCAACGTCGTGGAGAAAACAAGACGTTTGTGCTTCGAAATTCGATGTACAGATTTACCACCGCCCCTGGTTGTTGAATCCTCGTTTTAAATCAGCAGCGCCGCGCCCAACATCCTTCTTCTCCTCCTCGCATCCTACCCCTCCGCCTCCTCTTCTTCATCATGCCGCTGGTCTCCACATGCTAACTTTGGCACACCCCTCACACGCTTCGTGGCCCCATTGGCACTCCACCCACGGCCCTGGTAAGGGCGTCCGTATGGCAACGCTGCCTCATGTCGGCACGCTCTTCACACGTCCGCCAAAGTGAGGGCGCCCATATGGCACCGCCGCCCACAATCCGACACACGCTTCACACGCTTCGTGGCCTCATAGGGAGCTCCACCTCGGGCAACACTGGCACAGCTGGCATGGCGCAGTCGCCCCCAATCCGGAACACCCCTTGCACGCATCGCGGCCCCATTACGGCCCCAGTGGCACAGCTCGCATGGCGTACACGCCCCACAGGGAGTTCCAGGCACCGCGCCTCTTTCGGCATACACCTCCCGCGTTTCGTGGCCCGTTCGAAGCTCAGCTCACCTCTCAGTTGGGATCGCGCACCGTAGGGAGCTCAGCTCGCCTCTGCGCGCCTAGGCCGCCCCCCGCCCCCATCCGCACTGCCCCAGGCTCCATCCCGATCGCGGCGCGCTACTCTGAATACCTCAATAGTTTGGGGGTGACCAATAGTCCGCGGGGGGGCCCTGTAGTCTGGGGGGGGGGCCCTTGTAGTCTGGGGGGGGAGCCCTGTAGTCTGGGGGGGGCCCTCGTAGTCCGGGGGGGGGGGCCCTGGTAGTCCGAGGGGGGGCCCTTGTAGTCCGGGGCCGTCGTCGTCGTCGTCGTCGTCGTCGTCGTCGTCGTCGTCGTCGTCGTCGTCGTCGTCGTCGTGCAGTACAGTACTTACTCGTCGTTCAGACCGTGGCAATTTTCTTTTTGTGGCAGCCCGAAGCACTCGTGCTGGGCGTGGTCGCTGTAGTCCGGGGGGGGGTCCTTGTACTCCGGGGGGGGGCTCTGTTGTCTGGGGGGGGGTCCTTGTAGTCTGGGGGGGGGGCTCTTGTAGTCCGGGGGAGGTCCCTGTAGTCCGGGGGGGGGGCCCTTGTAGTCCGGGGGGGGGCCCTTGTACTCCGGGGGGGCATAGAAGTCCGGGGGCCCAAAACTATTGAGGGACTCAGAGTACGTATGAGGAGAAGGCCATACACTGTGTTACTCGCAGCTGTACAGGGTTGGGCCCGTCGGCCGGAAAACACTCTGGCGCGGACGGCTCTTCTTGGGCCACTTGGGGCCCTTCGTCGTGGCCACGGCTGTACGGTATTCGAAAGGCTGGGCAGAACGCACCCCAGGACGGGTCCGGGGGTCGATCCTTGGCCCTCGGATCACCATCTCCAACGTTTCGAAAAATCAACATAAGATTTTCGCCATGCTCGGCCTCTGGGGGGGGCCCTTTCGGGCTTCGGAACCATCAACTGACAGCATGGGGCAACAAACCAAAATTAGCAAATCGAAGGACTCAACCCTATGCAGCTGCGAGTAAGGCAGGATCTGGCCATGCATACACAACCTAAGGATTATGAGAGCAAGTCTGAGTGTGAGAGAGGCTGAGTTTGGGTCTGAGTTGAGTGCACCTGAAGGAAGTGAGTCTGAGTGCGAGTGGTCTGAGCGTGAGAAGACTGAGTGTGAGGAAGGGGGCGGGAAGGAGGCGGAACCATCACAACAGCAATAGAAACACATGCTTCGGATATGGGGTAAAACGGAGAACGCTCGAGAGCTCGAAGCATGCGGCGCCCACGCCTCGGGTTTCGTGCGCAGCGCGCCTCGACCCTCCAGGCGTCCGAGGCCTGGGGCGAACGGCCTCGGTCCTTGGATCCCCGAGCCTCGATTCCTCGAGCCTCGATCGACGACGGCGGCGGCGGCTCTCCGACGACGACGACGACGACGACGACGACGACGACGACGACGACGACGGCGACAACGGTGACGGTGGCGGCGGCGGGCGGCGGCGGCGCTTCGGGTCTTGTGCGCAGCGCGCTTGCCGGCTCGCCAGCACGCCGCTCACGACGGCCTGCGTCAGCCTTTCCTGCGAGGGCGCGCGGGCAGACGCGAGTGCGCGAGCGCGCCCAAAGGTTCCAGGGTGATCGAAGATCGAGGTTCGAGACGAGGTTCGTTGTTCGAGGTTCGTGGCTCGAGGTGTCTCCTCCTCCTCCTCCTCCTCCTCCTCCTCCTCCTCCTCCTCTTCCCTGGGGGAGGAGGAGGCTCGAGGATCGAGGATCGCGATCCGATATCTTGAAGGAGTTGTTTCATCGGTGTGAGCGTAGGGGGGAGGAGGGCAGTTTGGCGCCCTGGGGCTGTCAAAACAGAGGTCCAGGGTGAAACAAAGTGCTCCCTTCAGCGGCCCCACATTGCAAGGACAAAAAGCAAAAAGCCTCGGCGGTGTGGGGATTGGAGCTCGAGGATACGAGGCTCTTGGGTGGCTGGGTGGTCTTTTGTTGGCCTCCGTGGGGGCCTCCGCTTGAAAGTTGGAGTCGGGCCTAGGTAGAGGGTCTGCGGTTGATGGGGGTTTGGTGGCCGCACCCCCCATGGGGTTTCCATGGCGCGGAGGGGGCGCGGAAGGCTAACTGAAAGTAATTGATCGACTTGGTTTTTGCGCTAAGCGATACGGGAAACAAGCCATGGGGTTTCGATGCGGCTACAACTGTGCCGCATCGAAACCCCATGGCTTGTTTCTCGTATCGCTTGGGGGGGCACTGGGGGGGGGGGGGCCTCTCTGGAGCACGGAGCGAGGCTGCAGGCTCGAGGACCGGAACCTCGAGCTCGGCCTCGGGAGCGCCCACGCCGTGCAGGAGCACGCCAGCTCGAGGAGCCCCACGAGAGGGAGGCGGGCCAAGGGAGAGCCCACGCCAGCCGGCGCCCACCGCTGCCTGCCCAGCACTAGCCTTCCGTCGGGCGTGTGCCCCTACAGGGGGATCCTCGACGAGGAAAAAACAGCATAAATACTCAAGAAATGGTCAGAAAAAATACTCCAAAAATAGTCCCCTGACCATTTCTTGGACTATTTTTGGAATTGTCCTCCTGCAGAGGGACGGGCCCGACCTGACCGCAGCCGCTGCGAGGTCCTGCCAGGTGGCCGAGAAGAGCAGCACCTGCCGGTCCGGCCGGATCTGCGTCAGGATCTCGTGGATCTCCTCCTGCGCAGGGGGGAGGCGAGCGGACGAGATCCCACGGCGCCCCCGACGGTGACTTCGGCCTTCGGCCCCTGCGAGCCCTCCTCGGAGAGGGCCCCGGACGCCACGGCCAGACTCGCACCGGATGCCCAGTGTCTGAAAAAACCCAGTGAGGGTCCCCGGTTGGTTCCAGGAACTGCTGGACAGCGCCCGCTGGAGACTTCACATCACGCGTGCAGAAGACACCATGATGAGAAAGGCGTCTGGCAAGAACACCTGTGGTGGCGTAACAAGTCGCATTGCCACTCTCTGCTCGCATGCTCGCATCCCTGCTGGTTTACGCGCAGGTGTGCTCGACGATATGCCTGCACACAATACTGGAAGCCCTGCGTGTTTCAACAACTGTGGTGTCAGAGGGTGCGCTGGGTCAGGCTTCCCCACCCAAGACAGCCCCACGAGCTCCTGGTGATGGGCCTGTTTTCCACCAGCACCACCACCATAAGTTGGAGGGGGGAGGGGGTCCTCCTCCCTTCTTCTTCCTCCTCCTCCTCCTCCTCCTCCTTCCCCCCTCCAACTTATGGTGGTGGTGGTGGTGGTGGTGGTGGTGGTGGTGGTGGTGGTGGAAAACAGGCCCATCACCTGGAGAGCGCCTGAAGACCCCAGGAGGCCCCCAAGGCACGGCGGCCCAAGAGGGCCGCAGGCCAGCCAGCAGACCCGCAAGTGTTTGCGCTGGTACCAAGTAATTCGGATGGTGTGTGCTTGGGACGCACAAAGACATACTGGTACTAGATGTCCTCCTTGGAGGCGCGCGTCCGAACTAAACCTATAGTATACCCATCTTGTAGTAAATCGTTTTGCCGAGCGGTGTGGCCAGAAAGCGCCCGCCACGACGCATGTACTATGAGATTTCTCGGTGCGCACATCGCCCCCGGGGGGCGACGCGCATATAGTATAAGTATGCTAGGGGTGACGCCGATGTGATTGTTTGTCTAGATTTGTTTCTTCGGTGCTCGACTGTATATCCACGTATTTTCCTGCATTGATCATTCTGCACTGCTTGTGTGCCCTTTCCATTTTCACCATCGGCCTGGCTTCACTGTGCCAGCCGCCCGAAGACTCGTTAGGCCAACCGCGCGGGGTATCCCGTTTGCTTTCTCGCTTGTGTTTCGTCTGTCGTTGCGCGTCTAGCCGTTGCTGCCAGGGCCAATTCTGGAAAGCAGATGTGAAGCCGACCCCCGCAGGTCAGGTTTCAGGGAAACCAGCGGGCGCTCAGAAGTCGATCGAAGACTGCGACCGAATGATTCCTTACCGGGTTGTCCGATACCCCGACGTCGATTGGATCGGCGTGGGCTGGGTTCACAAATTGTAGCAGGAAACCGTAAACGGCGATGTCATGTTGACACTACGGAAGTCTGTCCCCAAGAAGTGGCCACAGCTGGTCCCATTTCGAATGGCGGCGAATCGCAACGTGCAGCGAGCAGACAGAAGCCAAGGAGGAAGGGCGAGATGGTGATAAAGACAATCGAAGAGGCAGGGGGAGGCAAATATGAAGGTGGAAAGAAGCGAAAAAAACATTTGAAAGCAACGAGTGTCAGGCAACTTGGACCCAAAAACAGCGTGTTTCTAACTATATATGCGATGCAATCTACGCGATCCAATCTACCTGGTTCATTCTACGTGGTGCATTCTACAACGTGCAGTCTCTGAGGTGCAATCTATGTGGAGTGAGGCAATCCACGTGGTGCAATCTATGCGGTGAAATTAATTTCTGTTCGCAATGAGTTGTCCACTCCACTGCTCGCGCAAACATCCCACCCACCCACCCGCAACTTGGTTTGCAAAATCTCTTAAGACCGTGACGGTGGGTACCACATGGCACTTGGCAACAACAGCGACGCCGACGACGACAGCGACAACGACGATGACGACGACACCGACAACGACTACGACGACACCGACGACGTCTCCAACGACTTCGACGACGCCGACAACGACGACGACGACGACGACGACAACACCGACGACGACGACACCGACGCCGACGACTACGACGATGACAACGACGACGACGATGACGACGCCGACGACGACGATAACGACGACACCGACGACGACGACGACGCCGACGACGACGACGACGACGGCGGCGACGACGACGACGCCGACGTCGACGACGACGAAGACGACAACGACGCCGACGCCGACGACGACGACGAAGACGACGACGACGTCGCCAACGAAGACAACGAGGAAGGAGGGAGGACGACGACGGCGACAACGACGACAACGACGAGGGAGGAGGGAGGACGGCGACGACGCGAACGACGAAGAAGGAGGAAGGACGGCGACGCCGACGCCGGCAACGACGAGGGAGGAGGGAAGACGACGACGACGACGACAACGACGACGACGACGACGGCGACGAAATAGGAGGGACGACGACGAGACGCCGACGACGGACGACGACGACGACGAGGGAGGAGAGGAGGAGGACTTCGGCGACAACGACGACGGAAACGACCACGACGCCAAAGAGGACGACGACGACGAACATCGAGGAAAGACCGAGGACGACGTAGGCGACGACGACGACGACAACGACGCGGGAGGAGGGAGGACGGCGACGACGACGACGACGACGACGCAAGAGCGCGCGCGCACGCTTTTGTTGAAAATCCGTGTTGCGAAACCTTGTGTTTTTGTAGGTTTTTGGACACACGATTTTGAAATCCTTCCGATAACGATGGGTTTTGAAGGTGTTCGGCATACACGCGCGACGACGCGCGCGTCTGCACTTCGTCCCATTTGTTGCAGGGGATTCTCGCGACGGCACACGCGCAAGGGCGTTCGACAGATTTCGACATGAGCGCGCGCGAAGCCAGTTTGGTGGCACTTGGTGAACATGTTGAAAACATATGGTTTTCTTAAGATTTCGCAAGAGCTTTCGCGGAAGCTTTTTAGCAACTCTGTGTGGCGAAACCCTGTGTTTTTGTATGTGTTTTGGAAACTCGATTGCGAAATCCTTCCCGCACCGAAGGTTTTTGAAGGATTTCGGCGTGCGCGCGCGACGACGCGCGCGTGTGCACTTCGTATCATTTTGTGCAAGGGATTCATGAACAAGTGTTATATTAGAACAAAAAATGTCCACCGCATAGTGTTTTTGTATAAGGGAACCTCAGGGGGGGGAACCGGTTTGGCTTGGATAGCACGATTACATATTTAGGATGGCCGAGTGTGCAGAATATATATATATATATATATATATATAAGAAATCATACTATCCCAGGGGGAGCCGATAAGTCAGGGGGGGTAGAATCTATGAATCTTTTAGAAAGGAGAATCAATCACTTGCTCAACTTCAAGCTGTCCTCTCAACTCCCTGTGCAAACATCCCACCCTCCCACCAGCAACTTGGTCGCAAGACCTCTTAAGACCGTGACGGTGGGTACCAAATGGCACTTGGCAACGACACCGACGCCGACGACGGCAGCGACAACGACGACGACGACGCCGATAACGACTACGACGACACCGACGGCGTCTCCAACGACTTCGACGACGACGACACTGACGACGACGACGACGACGAAGACGACGACGACGACGACGACGACACCAGCGACAACGACGACGACGACGCCGACGCCGACGACGACGACGATGAAAACGCCGACGACGACGACGCCGACGACAACGACGACGCCGACAACGACGAAGACGACGCCGACGACGACATTGACGACGACGACGACGTCGCCAACGAAGACGACGACGAGGGAGGAGGGAGGGCGACGACGGCGACAACGACGACAACGACGAGGGAGGAGAGAGGACGGCGACGACGCGAACGACGAAAAAGTAGGGAGGACGGCGACGCCGACGACGACAACGACGAGGGAGGAGGGAAGACGACAACGACGACGACGACGACGACGGCGGCGGCGACGAAATAGGAGGGACGACGATGAGACGCCGACGACGGACGACGACGACGAGGGAGGAGGAAGGGCGACCACGGCGACAACGACGACGGAAGCGACGACGACGCCAAAGAGGGCGACGACGACGACGACGACGAGGAAAGACAGAGGACGACGAGGGCGACGACGACGACGACAAGGGAGGAGGGACGGCGACGACGACGACGACGACGACGACGACGACGACGACGACTACACAAGAGCGCGTGCGCACGTTTTTGTTGAAAATGCGTGTTGCGAAACCCTGTGTTTGCGTATTTTTGTAGGACAGTCGATTTTGAAATCCTTCCGGCACCGAAGGTTTGTGAAGGATTTCGGCATGCGCTCGCGACGACGCGCGCGCGAACTTCGTCCAATTTGTTGCAGAGGATTCTCCCGACGACACGCGCGCAAGGGCGTTCGAACGATTTCGGCATGAGCGCGCGAAGCACATGTGCGAGTAGTTCTTGAAAATATTGAAACAACCCTTGGATTTTTTGTCTGGAAATGTCGCCAGAGCGCGCGCGTAAATTCATTTAGAAAATCAGTGGTGCGAAACCCTGTGTTTTTGTATGTGTTTTGGAAACTCGATTTTGAAATCCTTCCGAACCGAAGGATGTTGAAGGATTTCGGCATGCACGCGCGACGACGCGCGCGTGTGCACTTCGTCACTTTCTTTAGCAAGGGATTCTTGAAAACCTTATGATTTGTGGTTCACGATGCGCGCATGGTATTCTGTGCAGAAGATGGCGGGGCGGCCGATACCGGTTTGGCTGGGAAAATATGAATTCACAGGCAGGATGGACATTGGGTCAGAATCCGATGTGCTTTGCATCGTTGCCCAAGGGGTCTGTAACCCCGGGGAGGGGAAGGTGGTAGAACTTATCTTATTCTTCGACAGGAGAATTAATCAATGCTCAACTAGGAGTTGTCCACTCCACTGCTCGCGCAAACATCCCGCCCACCCACCCGCAACTTGGTTTGCCAAACCCATGCGAGGGCAATTGCGATGAGTGCTTGGCGCTGGCTGGTGCATTTCTGCGGCCGCGACAGCCCGCGCATGC